GGTCATTTCCACGGTCCCACACTGCCATACAAAGGGAGCACTGTGTATCTGTATATCTCGTGATGTGATAACTATCACCATGCCCATTACTCAGATGAGGAAATTGAGGAGTCAGAGAGTCTGAGCTACTTGTCCGAGGTCATGCAGATAGTAAATAGGAGAGCTTGGATTTGCACCTGTGCAGTCTGACTCCCAGACCTGGCCCTTTGACCGCTATACCACCCTGTTGCTTCTATCAAGCTGTGAGCACTTCAAAGACAAGAACCATATCTTTTGATCCTTATATGCGGTCATGTAGACATTACTTGGTAAATACATATTGAGCAAATGAAAAAAACAATAAAGGAAGTAAGGAGCTGTAAAAATAATTAACATTTACTGTTTGAAAATAATAAGAAAAAATTAAGACTGATCGAAGACTAAGCAGCAGCAACCCTGTAGATGCCCATCCATTATAGGTAAAATGGACATGTCCTCAATCGACTCATTTGATGTGAAGACCAGTCATTTCTGAGATGTTCGGAAACATGTAACATGGGGCAGAGGATGATGGGTTCTTGCTAAGAAAGTTCTGGTGATGGTCATTACATCAGAACACACTCGACTGAGACATTGGGGAATAAAAAATGAAGGTCTCATATCCTGCTCCTTTCATACAGCAGTTCTTGGCGTGGAGACTATTCCACAATATTCTGTGAGAAAGGCAAACAGTAGCTGCTGCCCTGGCTGCTGGCCCAAGTAGCCACTAGCCGCTCCCCGTCAGTACAGCAGCTCTTACACTGAGGTGGAGTCTACGGGTGGGCTTCAAGAGTTCACGACTCCTTCAAGTATCAGCTTGATTGCCACATTTTGTGTTAATAAGTTTATAAACCTTGGGTCTTAAGGATAAGGGAAAAAAAAGAGAGAAAAACATTCAACCGTGTTTGGAAATTTTCATACCAGAAGCTGGCCCTATTTTCACAGGGAGTTCTGTACCTCCTGGCACAAATTTTAAAGCCCCACAGAGCTGTCATTTGGAGGAGGAGGAGCAGAAGTAGACCTTGCTTGCGCGTTACCTGAAAACCACCTGGGATTTGTGGTTTGTGACAGTGTCAGGAAAGTTTCTACCGAAGCCTTGGGCAAAGAGTCCAAATAGTCAAATGACAGCAAAGCTCCATTTGGAAAGCCCAAACCAGAGAAAAATCAAGGAGAGTTGCAGATGTATAAAAATAGATATGGGTCAGGCGGAAATATGGAGATGAGAGCTTGTGGGCTGCAGAAGCCAGTACATTGTATTCTGTTCTGTTCTGTTCTGTTCTTCCAGCCACCACTTTTACTGAGGCAATAAAAATGAAAGAGCAAGAGAGAGACATCGTAGGGAGGGAAACCAGCTTGAGGAACAGTAGGCTCAGACTGTTGAGAGTATGGACTGTCAGCCCTAATGTATATGCATGGGAAGGAAAGTCAGCTCAGCTGGGAGAGAAGATTTGAGCAGACGTGAGATGGGGGCACCCATCCTCCTGCTGGCGTCTGTGAAAGATATCACTTCCCAGAACAAAGGGATGCCCCTGGGGACTAGCACAGCATCTGCGATTAAGCCTTTGAAGAATACAGCCTCTCATTTCAACTCAAGGCCCAATCCACCAAAAGAATAAAACCTACTTCCTAAACAGGGATCTCAGATGATCTTCTTGGTGAACGAGTTCCACTCTACACTCGCAAATCTTTTAACTCATATAAAGGAAACTACTGGTTCCAGGATCTTCTTCAGGTACCATTCACTCACAGGAAGTGAGCAGGAGCCTCCATTCTAGCACATCACTTCCAGCCTTTGGAGAAATGTCGAGTCTTGGGAGAGAGGAATGAATCACTTACCTCCATAGGTCCAAGTTCCCCTTAGAATGAATAAGCCACTCTGGACCAACCTAGACCGACCAGTACGCTGGATGGAAGCAGGAACTAAAGCCATCTTTGGAATCCTTGGCTCAAAGATGTTTCCTTAAAGAAGGCTGTAATCAAAGTCTTTGAAGCTCACATGAGTCAACAGCACCACCAATTCAATTGGTGGGTATAGGGTGTGCTAAGGTTACTGCTCCACCCCACATAATGGTCAGGAGAGTAGACCCATTATGAAAAAAGCTAGGGGACTCCGATAACCACAGGAAACAAGATTTCATCATTTGAAATTTTGAAATCGTCTAGAACTGTGTGTTAACTGCACATATAGATGCTATTTCTCCTCAGTGAGGCCCTATGGATGTTTCCAAAAAACGTATGTGTAAGAGGTGGAGAATTGAGTTTAGCAGATGTTCTCTGGGAGAATGTTCTCTCCCTGTCTTTGTCTGTCTGTCTCTCTCACACACACACACACATCACACCGTCTAGTCATACAACAGCTCCCCAACCATAGCAGGCTCCTTTTAATTTTTTACCCAGAGAACAAAGGAAGGTGAGAGAGTTTGCACCCTTTGGGGTCTGGAGTGTTGAAAAGAACAAAGAAATTTTTATCAAATGATATTGTGGGATTTCTGAGATATACAAGTAAAGGTTATAAGCACTTTACAAATTATTTTTGGTTGCTTCATGCTTCTTTGAATGCAGCACCTTGTGAAAACTGAAGCCCATGAAGCTCCTGCTTACATTTGGCTTGCAGGCATCTCCTAAAACAGTCGAAACAGTCCAAATCAAAGGCAGAGATGCCTGCGCCCCTCCCTCTTGGCATCTCTCCCTATTATTCCCGTATCTGATATCCCCAGACCTTCTAGCCCTTTCCTGTGATCCATTTAGAGGCTCTTCTTGGTTCACTGACTTCAGTAACACTTCCTACACCCCCTTCCGATTTGCACCCTTGCTCAGAGTCTGTGCACACCAGCTCTGGGTGAAATGCCCTCGCTGCATTTGGGAGGGCACTAGAGAACATCCACAGAGAAAGACTGTGGAGGAGACATTTCCCAACACATATTATCAGGATTATCTTGCCTTGTGAAAGGGGTGAGTGAGGATCACTGAGATGATAAAAAAACTTTTAGAAACAGCATGCAGAATTTTGAGTAAAGGAAACAGAGAAGGACTTTTACTCATGAGAGGGGTTTCCTTGATATTATTAAACTCTGATACACTAAACAGATAACACGGTTGAAGAAATAAAAAGTTTGCCCTGACTTTTAACGAGTTAGAACATTCTAGGAGTTATCCTCAGCAACAGAGTGGGTGAGAATCCTCGTGATTCTGAGTTAGGGCTGCACCCTGGTCCCCTTCTTACCCTGGCCCCGGGAGGCCTGTCCCTGTGTGGAGGACCTCCATTGAGTATTACACTACAAGGCACTTGAGGATGGACTACATTTATTCACATTTAAATCTCTATACCTGTCACAGTATATAGTCCATAGGAGCATTTTTTTTAAATTGAAGTAGCATTGGTTTATAACATTATATAAATTTCAGAAGTACATCGTTGTATTTCAGTTTCTGTGTAGACTACATCTCATTCACCACCCAAAGACGAATTGCCATCCATCACCACACACAGGTGCCTAATCACCCCTTTTGCCCTCCTCCCTCCCCCCTTCCCCTCTGGTAACCACCAACCTAATCTCTGTATCTATGTGTTTATTTGTTGTTGTTGTTGTTTTTATCTCCTATTTATGAGTGAGATCATATGGTATTTGACTTTCTCCTTCTGGCTTATTGCACTTAGCCTAATACTCTCAAGGTCCATCCATGTTGTTGCAAATGGCAAGATTTCATCTTTTTTTATGGCCAAGTAGCATTCCATTGTGCGTCATAGGAGCATTTAATACGTGTTAGTGGAAGGAATAAATAAAAGAAATAAGTTGCTTAACCATTGGAGAAATTCCTCAAAGTTTTTATTTTATTTTTTAGTTTTGTCAGTCCATATGTGAAAGCTTTGGTCAGGCTTAAAACACTAACTCTCCAGTTTTGGGTGACAACCCTTCTGACTGAATCTCCAGGCTTTAAATTCAAAGCATGGTTTGTGGAATGCCTGGGTTTCTGTGATGAAATAAAAGGTTTTTTTCTTTATGATATTTTGGATCTCTAAATTTTCAAAGTTGTATTTTATGGTTTCTCCTTGTTTTTGTTTAAAAATAAAATGTGTGTGTGTTGGTAGGGGGATGCTCGAGAACAGTGGCAAACAAACCAACCAACCAGCCACCTGGATGAAGCTCAGTCAGTGAGTCGGCGAAGCGTGTGTCATCCTGGTGCCAAATGACGCTCAGGAAAATTGCAGCAATTTTTGATGCACTTGCCAATGTTTGTGTTATTTTTGCTTTAAAGATGTAACAGATTGCTGCAAAATAAATAATTTAAGCCTAATGTTTCAAAAGAGTCCAAGGGCTTGCGTCTTTCACTTCTGGCTCCTCTTCTGGGACTAAGCTGCCAGCAGAAGCAACCCTCATTTCTACATGACACTCCATTTGGAGGGTTGTTTTCTTGCTTTGTTTTTCAAAGTTGAATCTATTTTTTACCATTCTGCTCCAAATGTCATAGATTCTATCATTGTTCAGCGCTGAAGAGATCGCTCCTCTTATCCAGGAAAAAAGGGAACGAACTCCACAGTGTGTAGATCCGTGATCCTAGGGGAGGAGGGTTTGGAAGAGTCGAAAAGAGAGCTCTAGGGTGGGCTAAGCCGTGTCCCACGGGCATCCACAATTTCCATAGTGACTCGTATTTAGACTTCAAGCCGTGAACAATGGGTCCAATTTTGCATATGATGTCTTTAGTTTAGCTTAAAATAGCTTCAGACTTGACAAATTAACTTCACTCAAAATGGCCCATTCTCGATCAATTATCAGACTTCTTATTGGGTCATTTGCCTTTATGATACAATCTAAGAGAGAAGAAAGATCTATGATAAAAAAAAAAAAAAAAAGAAAGCAAATCTTTATGCTGTCCTGTACTTCCTAAACGTGCATGGATGGCTTTTATAATCAGAAAGCAAAGGTAAAATATAAAAATGATCAAAACAAGAAACTGACAGCTTTGTGTTCTCGTTAATGTAGGCCGCCACTGTGAGGTCCATCAGATGATTGGGAACTATATGTGGGATCCCGTCACCAACAAGTCATTTGACATCGGTGTCAACAGAGACAGCCTGATGCCTCTCTGGTGGAATGGATCAGAGCCTCTGTGGGTCACTCTGACCAAAGCCAAAAGGAAAGTCTACATGTACTACTGGCCAGGTGAGTGTATTGACATCCAGGCCCCTCCAACCTTCCAAAGTTCAAAACACCATCGCGTCTCTGGGGACGAAGGATGTAGACGTGTTTGAAGACCAAGCCAGGGGTTGGAAAATGGGATCTCTGTTCAAGAAATGTATCTTATGGGCATGTTTTTAAAAATTTTGTTTTGAACTCTCTAACATCAGACCAGACACAATGCCATTTCCTGATTCCCTTGGTTCAGCAATATTGCTGCAGTATATCCTGATTTTTCCTGTGCAAAATTTTGGATGCACAGGAGGGATAAATTATAGGATCCTTTTTGCTTTACAAAAAAATTTGGCATACCAGCTCTATAGATTTTGAGCTCCCTTACCATATTGGAAAGAGGAATCAAAGCATTTGCAATCTTTCGGTAGTGCATTAAACGACGTTCTTTTGTATTAATATTCCTCTTGAACCTCCTAGATCAATGAGAAACGAAATTACTTTACTTACTGCAATGAGACTGTGAGAAGTCCTCAGGATACTCTCAACTTGCCCGCCGAAAATCTTTTATTAAGGATGAGAAGGTTCAGAGATAACAAACTCATCAACTTATTGTGGTCTTCCCATTGGAGAGAGTCGTTCTTTAGGAAAGTGGGCAATTTGACTTTTCCATGCACATGGCTGTAGATACTTTTTTCCTAAGTAATGGTGTGATTCTGATGATTGCATTATGGAGGAAGCTCTCTGGGGAGGCCTAGAAGAAATGAAAGGATAAATGGGAAGAAGTGGCTGAGGGGATTGCATGGGCCTGGGTTGGACGGCAGCAGCAACCTGATGGAATTGTGAAAGCACGTGGGTTGTGGGGGACGGTGGCAGGCCCGGACGGGGGGAGTAGGGAAAGAAGCATGAGTAAGCCAAGAGTGAATCACAGATGGCCCACACTGAGGGCGTGGGCCTTCTGCAGGAGCTAGGAGGGTGCTGGTTGGAGGTGGTCACATGGAAAGATGCTCAGGGCAATTAAGGCTGCTCCAGCTCTCAGAGGAACACAGAACACAGACAGATGGAGGCCAGGGGAGGCAGACACACAGCCGTGCTGTGGTAAGGGCCCAGAAAGCTGCCACAGGGTGAAGACTGGCATCCATAGGGGAGCCCATGAAGGCCAGAGCAAAGCAGCCTGCATTAATTCAAAATGGGGCAGAAGAACAAACAGACACAGGCTGGCTTTGCTGGCAGATACAGTTTCAGGGGGAATGCTTGAGTTCTTTAGAAGACACCTGGGATTCTGTACATAGCCCCTACCTCGGCGGACGTGAGAAGCCTGCAAGCAAGGAAAGTGTTTAAGAGGACTCCATCACCTTAAACGGAGACTCAACTAGTCACAGATTTGGACGTGAGATTAAGGAAACAAGTTAGTGCATCAGCCAAGCTAATTAGTCTCACTAGAGGAGCCAAGTTCTTGGTTCAGTCCAATAGGATGAGGTCTAAAGTCAAAAGATGTTGCCGCACTTTGAGGTCCTTTTGGGAAATCATTATCAACAAATACAAGGGCCTACATGCATAGGCATAGGAGAGGGAACAGACTGGGCATGCTGTCTTAATGGCCACCTGAAAATAAATCGAAGAACCACCAAGATGAATACTGCCTGGTGCCATCAGGGCCATCTTCCGTGGTATCTGGTTAATTTAACTTTCAAAGTCTCAGAATTTGAGTTCTTCGTGCTCTGAAGAGCACCTTGTCCATAATCTCTCCTGGGTTCCCCACGTGCCTCCTCCACGCATGACATGTATGATCTCCTGTTGACAGCCTCTTGGATGACCATGGGTGCCAGTGCTGATGGCGAGGCAGAGGGATGTCCTAAAGGGAGGCAGTTGCCATATCTCAGACTGCTCTCTGCAGGATTACAGAGCGTTATTCTTTATCTTATCCTGGAGAATCTGTTTCCTTAATGATAATAAATAACTTGAATTTATATCGCACTGCGAATCCAAAAAAAATCTCAAAGCTAATTTGCATCTAAAATATCTTGTTGCTCCTCCAAAACAGCTCCTTAAGGACAAGAAAGGGCCAATCACTTCCTTCGATTCACAGCCCCACAGCTAATGTGCCGTGACAGGATGCCTGAAGTTCAGTTTGTGGTGTTAAGTATCAGGAGGAAAAAAGCTAAAAAGATAGCCTTCTAGAATCTCCTCAGTGACTAAATGAAGATTAGCTAATGATCTGGCCATGTTAAAGTCTTGGTAGAAATTGGATGACAGGTCTCTTGTTTCATAGACACTGTCCAGTCCTTCTAAACTGAATACACAAATAAAGGCGCTCTGAGAGATAGTGTCCGTGCTGCCTGGCCCAGTCAGGAGTGTTCTGGCACCTTCCATTCTTACTGGTTGACAGCAGAGGGATTAGTGGTCACTGCTATCCTTTCTCTCTCCACCTTGGTCCCCTCCAGCCACAGCTAATAGCTCACCGAGTGTTCATTTGTCTCTGCAAGATTAAGTGAAGTGCAGTGGCATTTCTTCTAAACATGACTTGATTTTATTTTTCTTCTCAAATCCTCCTCTTCCTTCTCCGCTCCCCACAGGACATTGTACAGATCTCTTGATGCGGTCTGGAAAATCTTCATTGCTCCAGTGAGCTGTGTTATGACACTTTGAGTGTCGCCATTAAGTCAGCATTTAGAAGTGCAATTTAGAAATGGCAGTAGTTCAAGTCTTTCTGTCAGGTAGATAAAGCAGCAGACTGAAAAATTGATCAGTGGCGAAGAGTCCAAAATAACCCCCCTCAAGTCTTGAGAAATTTAATATGGTGTACAGACCCTTTATTACCCCACCCAGTGGTGCCATTGAGCTATGCAGGCAGAAATGTGCCTCAGGAAATGATCCCAGGGCCTAAATCAAATATTTTCTTTGGGGAGGCCCAAAGAAATGAGCCAGGAACTGCATAACTAGGACCTGGTAGTGTTCTGCAAAGGGTAAGAGTTGAGTGTACGTCACTTAGTAATTTTATTCCCCTACCCCATCCCTGTGGTTTGAGGTCAAGGGAATTTTATTGAGGAGGAAAAAGAAGAGACTCCAACATTCCTTCATATTGAGAGCAACCCAAAGCAAAGAAGGATGGATGCCTTGAGGAAGGAGGAAGAATCAGGGAATATGGGAGGGTAGGTGAGGTGTCGTATAGAAATAGAGTTTGAGCTCCTTGGACAAGTGCCACCTTATACAGTGGCAGTGGTTCTTAAGTTTATTCTTACAGCTATCATGAAATACAAAAAACGAACAAAAAATAGCAAACTTTTAGGAGTCGGTGGTTAAAACTTTTTTGGAGTGAGCATTTGAAGACTCTAACTTCTCCATCTTTCATCACGCATCTTTCAGTGCTCATTCCCTACAGCCAAGTGGTCAGGAGGACTTGGGGGCAACCAATCGTGTGGCCCTTGGATGGTGTTGGGCGTGGGTCTGGCCTCTTCTATTGGCCTCTTCCTATCCTGTGCAGGTGTTCAGACAAATAAGACTCCTTCTAGGTGGGAAAAGACACATTGCCACCTGGCTTCCCTCCCCAACTTTCCAGAGATGGGCTGGATGGGGAGTTAATGAGCAGGTGTCTGACTAAACTCTTATCAAGTTTTGGTTGTTACGTTCAAGGTGATTTCATCCGGATGAGTAAGGAAGCAGGTACTGGCTATTGATCAAGAATTGTGGATTATTCACAGCATCTTCCTCTTTCCTGTCGTGGTGGGTCCCTGACAACTTCAGCTGGGCTGAACTCAGATGCGTACCCTTAGGCCCAGGGAAAATGAAAAGCCCAGCACCAATCCTGCAAATGTGTGAATTAACACGGCCAAGTTCTTTGAGTCTATGTATGTGACTCCAAACATCTGGATAAAAGCTGGAATTTTTTTTCAGACAGATATTTGACATTACAAATACAAGGGATCCAGATTTTTGCTAAATGTCCCAAGAATTTAGCTTTAGACTTTAAGATGTACATACTTTAGAACCAGAAGAGGTCTTAGTCAGTGTGTGGTTTGCTGGTTCCCACACTTGTAAATGAAGACCTCTTTAGGAAACTGATCAAAACTGTGGATTCCCTTTCCAGAAAAACACATCTGTACATAACACACTCACAATTTCGTGCTATGTGATACAAGAGACTGCAGTGATGAGGATTGCCAAGTGGTCTTGACATGCAGCACACATATATCTATAATATCTATTTGATTTGATTTGATTTTTTTAATGTGATGGAAACGTATTAAAAACTCACCAAAGTATCAAATGAAACTCAAGCTCCTGTAATTAATGTCGTCTGGCAAGAGCAGGCTTCGGTCAAAATTCTGTAAGACTCTTTGGGTTGGATTCACCCTGAGTCATTTCCTTTCTTTGTCGGCAACTTTGGTGAGGTCTGCATCACTGACTTTGTATGTCTGTGTCAGCAAGAAAAAGATGCCAATTTGCATTTCAAGTTTGAGGTTGTCTCAACGAAGAGATCTTCACATGCATTCTGCAGGGTTTCTAGGTGTCAACCACTTCTGCTGCAGAGAAGTCGAGCAGGTGTTGGCTCTGCGGACTGCTGCCTGCCGAAGCAATTCCTCCAGCGTTTGAAGGTTTTCTTAGCTGTCCAACCACATGCAGTCTCCTTTTGCAGATGGTATTTTGGCCAAAAGAGCTCATAGTTTCTCAGTAGCATCCACTATGGTAATTAGAAACCCTTAAAGAGAAATCCAGAGACAAACTTCCATTCTTCACAAATCATGGCAAAGGTCTTTCTTCATAAAATGTCTTTAAAAAGGTGTGACTCAAGGCCCTGGAACAGGCTCTCGGGAGACAACTAAGAGCAAAGCCAGACACAGGCCCTCCTTGCCCCACCCCCACTTCCTGGAGAATTTACCATTCAGGCAAAGGGACAGATGAGAGTCTACTACTTGCCTAAATAAATGTAAAAATACACTTGCTAAAAGCATAATAATGAAAAGTATATTGCATTATCACATCATCTAATAAGAGATCTGGTTTCATCTGAAAGGGTGACATGAATTAACACC